TATTTATTGACGCTTTTGCTATATGCATTTTTGCACAACAGGCAGAGGTAAAGTTTGGAATGTAAACAAAAAAAGAATTTGGAAACTTAAAAATTTTGACTTTAATGGAAAGCAAAAAGAAAATATAGGTTTGTTGCTTGTAGATAAATTTCTTTGAAAAGCAGACGGTAAAAGTGGCGGCGAAATGGAACGTCGGTCATTTGCTAATTTATTCCCACTTAGTAGATGTTGAAATAGATTGTTTTATGCCAGGATTGCCATATGAAGCTAATATTATCGGTGTTCTTGAATTCAGTGATGAAGTAGGGTTTATTCACCCATCTCAGTTTATCACACTCAGCAAAGAGTGTGGTGAATCTGGTGATTCATATGAGGGTGGTGTTTTCGGACCTATAAATACAAAATTTTGGAATGGAGATCATAAGTTGGGCATTTCCACCGAGGTTCTTCTTCCCTTGTGTAAGGCTGCAAAAGTTGCATTTATGGATGCGATGAAACAATATAAGACACTTTGCAGCTTATCGGAGAATAAACATGAGGATGAGAATATCATATATGGCTCTTTGTCCTGTCAGTTTTTTGAAAGTGAAGTTATGAAGCATAGCAGGGCGCTTTTATTGTTAAGCTGTGATTTTGGCACAGCATGGAATTCCAGGTTTGCTGCATTCCATTATTTTATCTATGTCTATACTTATCAATTAACTTCTTCCTTTCACGTGTACTTCATATGCACAAATCAATTTCTACAAAGTTGATTCGGAATTGTTACTTGTTTTCTGTTGCTTGTATGGCATTGTAAATGGGTTCTTATTTGATCTAATTGAACCCTATTTGCTCTTAGTTTCACTGTGGAACAATGGTTGATATATATGCGAAGCGGATTTGTAACCTTGGGCATTTCAAATATTTCTGGTTTATCCTGCTAATGAATTTCGTTTCTTTGTTCTTCAACCAGTCCATTGGGGTTTCAGGTCTCTATTTAAACTCCATGAGACCAAGATTCGGGCATAAACTTTGAAAATGATGGAATCAGACCTTGACATTATCTTTGCAGGACCACAAGCTGAAAGTTACTGATTTCTTAATGTCTCCCTTATAGCCTTTTTCAGCTTGGAAGTTTCCTATGCTTACTGTTATAATTGTGCAAGTTTTATCTTTCGTTCGATGTTTGCTTTAGATCATGATTCTAGTTTTTATATCATGTCATTAGGAAGCTAATTCTGTCAAAGAAGCAGCAGCTGTCAATGTTTATGGATGAACTTTTCTTGTCAGCCCTTGTTCTTTCTTATTGACCTAGAAGTGAACAAGCTTGGAGCCACAGGTGATGGGTGATCAAGATGATTTCTGGAAAATATTCAACTCTGCAAGAGATCATAGCAAAAGAATCCGAGCTTGTTGAAAAAATAGCTGAGGTTTAATTTCAGCCCAGGAACTGGATACTATTGTATAATAAGGTTTATTAGCTTTTTCAAAGTAAATCCTTTCTTTCTTTCTTTATCTCTCAAGAAGTGGCTATGAACTCCAAGATATGTAGTAGTTTGCCTAATTGTTTTGGTTTAGACTAAAACTGAAGGAATGTAAGTATGAAGCCTAGAGGTTTGCGTGCATTAAGCTATTTGATTTCTGATGTGCATCTTAGGTTGACTACTTATCAAAGTTCCTATGATTTGTTCAACTCTTTTTCCCCCTTTTTGTGTAAACCTATGAATCTTTATTATTAAGATATGCTCTCTCTTTTCTTTTTTTTTTTTTTTGTTGGACTAAGTCCCCTACTAAACCAATTATGAGATGTGTTTTTATTCATAACAACCAATGGTTATCCAAGTTACTTGTGGATAGAACCGCACTTAATGTAGTTCATATTCTTCTCTTTGCAGAGATAAAAAATGAACTATCGTGCCTGGAATCATCGTTGCTGGTTAGTTTCCTACATGACAAGAGAACAGGTTAGACACTTGGATTATGCAGATAGTTCAAATGCTTTATTGTGTCACAACACAATTTTTAGGTCGGTTGCACTTCATTTTTGTGTCATGAAAAGCAAATAATCAACAGCTGTATTTTAACACTGATTTTCCGAAGGCAAGTATGGGTTGAATCATGTTTGTTTTTAAGTATTTAAATGCTGAGACATTCTGTTTCAAGAAAGCATCCTTTTTTAAGTTCCACGTACATTTTATTTTATTGATATAAATATATACTTTCAGATGCTTCATGAGTTAAAGAAATCCAGAGATTGGGCTGGGTTGCATGTTGCCGATAATTGATGCTTTCACTATCGCAGAGTAAGTTTCCATGTTACAATCTAAATATGATATTGCCTCCCTGAAAAGATATGTTTGTGGTTCAAGGAAATAATGGAACATATTTTATTTTACCAGGATTAAATCATCATTAATTTAATCCCATAAATTTAAGTAACAATTTTTTCATGCAACTGATATCCCTGTGTACCTCAATTTGCAGCGGCTAATGCTTGGAATTTCAGGGAATTCCATCTGTAAACAAGAATGTGACAACTCTTCTTACGATGTTGAAAACTATCAAGTCGTGAAGGTACAATTCTGTGGCCGACATGCAAGTTCACACTATCTTATGTGAGATGACATCTTTATCAACAAGAAAGAATAGCCCATGTGTGCTGAAATTCATTAGTGACTATTGATGTCTTCTGAAATAATTTATGTACTACTTGCTTTTTGACCTCTTCAAAAAATCGTACCGGACAGGATGAACTTGATTTGAACGAAGTCTTAATAAAGCGTTATATAGGGAGAGAGGTATGAGGCTCTTCTCCTATTCTCTTTCCACCTTCAAACAAAGGAAAAGGGTGAAAGGGTTTTTGTACAGAATTAATGCACTTGCTCCTTGTGATTTCATTGCTTTTTCAAATTAACTGGCCTAGTTATTTGTGCTGTGTCCAATTCAGCTATTCTTTCAATCCTTAAAATTTTTAGTGTATATTGTTCGTATTTCACAGGCTCGATGGCTTCATCGTCGATTCCTGTCCCTATGTTTGATATGGCATTTGATAACTATTCATGGTATTTCATGCCATTCTGAGCAGAAAACCAGCATGAATAATGAAATCAATATCTTTTTGGATAATGAATTATGTCTCCTAGATTCCTGCTCAACCATTCAAGATATGGAGTTTGAGGATTTCAAAGCACAAGCAATGTATTCAGCAATTTATATTTTATGGTTCATAAAGGTAATATAATTTTGCTTAAATCAGAGCTTAAACTTTGAACAGGTTTCTTTGCAAGCTAGTAATTGGATGTAACCTTTCCATACCATGCATCAGCAAATTCCTCAATTTAGGGAGATGCAACTACAAGAGAAGCTTAAAGCAGGAAACTTGAAGACCATACTACATATGACATGTCCAGAAAGATCTTTCCTCTGGGATTTGTTGGAATTAAAAGGAAGCTTTTAATCAGCATGTAAGAGAGAATTGGTTCAGCATTGGTAAATATTACCTATTATATGATCTCTCCTTGACTATTATGCACAAGTTGGATTGTTGTACTGAGAATGAAGAATTTGATCCTCACTTTTTCTAATGTTTGATAAGATAATCTTATTGACAGGTAGGCGACAATAATATTAAGGTAGTTTCAACTTCCCAGAATGCATTGTCATGTTTTCTAACTCCATGGAGGTCAGGATACCATGAGGGTAAGGCAAGCTATTATAGATTTGAGAGATGGCTGACCATTCCTACCTCGCCTAGGTCCTCGAAACAAACTTATCCCAAAAAAATGGGGACCAACTGCTCGCAAAACTGGACAAAGTCGACACTTGAAATGCACCAGAATTCTGCTGAGTTGATGCGAAAACTTAAAGCTTTGTACTGACCTTTGTGTTCCTTTTTTTTTTTGTTTTTATAATTGATGTCCGCTCTTTGGATTCGAATTATATGAATTGGAGTTTCAAGTTCACATGTCATACACTCTATCTTCCCACTTCTTTAATGGCCTACCAAAACTAAAGCATCTAATGTTAGCCAGATCTTTTTGTCTCCCAATGTTCCCCAAAGTGATGGCTGCTTGCCTTGTCGAGTGGGAGCCATTGCAGACCAATCCCGAGGTCCTGGTTACTTGTGGTTGTTAAAATAGAAAAAAAATCATTAATAAATTAATATATCGGATTGGGTTGCAGCTGGACTTGAAAAGCCTTATCTGTAAAATTTTGTTTGTATCGTGAAAAATAATTTCAAAAAAATAATTTTTACACTTTTAAATATTTATTTGGTAAAAAATTGATTGATCAATAAAAAATAATTTTTTGGTTAATGAAAAATGAGATATTTTTTAAAAATTATTTTATGAATTTGCAAAGAAAGATATTTTTCAAAAAAACTATCTGTGAGCAAAATTATTTATTTTGAGTATAATTTTATTTTATAAATAATATTATAATATATTCATAAATAATATATTAATAAATATTATACTAATATATTAATATTAATAAATAATATTGTATTAATAAATAAATAACATTATATTAATAAATCATATATTAAGAAATAATATTATAATATATTAATAAATAATATAAAAATAATAAATAGTTTTATTTTAAATATTTTTATATTAACGTAATATTTTAATATTAAATAATATTATTGAAATCTATTTATTTTTTAATATTAATAATTTTAATAATAAATAATTTTAATATATTTAATAATAAATAATTTTTAATATTTTAATAATTATATTAATATTATTAAAATTTTAGAAAAATAAATAAATAATAAAAATATTTTTATTAATTTATTTAAATAATAAAAATTTATTTTAATTTAAAAACATATAAATAATTTTTAGAATTATTTTTCGAAAGCTATTTCCTTCGAGACAAATGAGCCTAAAATTCAGTCTGAATCGGGCTAAACCTACTGAGCAGAGCTTGTAGATTGACGGGCTATAATGAGTTGGACAGGTCTAATTCATTCCAAAATAGTCCAATTCTTTCTCCTATTGGTTTTTAGACCATGGGCTTTCCAGGTCAAACAACATCCTGAACCCCTAATCCAAACCAATATCCTAGCCAGATTCCTTATCCTTAAGTTATGCCTGGGAATCCATCTAAATGAAAAATCTGTGTTAAGGGTGCATTCAAGCTAAGAACAACATTCGACCACAGACACACAATTCCAACGGCCAAAATTGAGTTTGTCATCTTTTCCTTTCACTTTTACAGCTTACAGGTACTCTCTCTTCATTCATTTCTTTCTATCTTCCCCCCTTCAGTTTGTTGTAGCAAATGATCTTTCTTGAACACTGAGCATCAGGAAAGAAAAAAAACCATAATTTATCAATGACAATACTGTTTTCAACTGAGTTAATTCCTCGTAGTCTACCCTTTTCTTCACAGCAACTAAAGCCATCTTCAAATTCACTTTCACCTCATAGTTCTTTGGTGAGTTGCTTAAACCTTGAGACTAAAGATGGAAGTAGTAAGTCTAGAAACAAGCAAAATGTCAGGGTTTCAGCTGAAACAAGACCAACCCATCTCATGTCTTTTGATTTTAAGGAGAATCATCTTGTGAAATTACTCGATAGGTCTTGCAAGGCAGGCGAGTATAATGAAGCATTTTACTTTCTTGAGTGCATGATTGGTAAAGGTTACAAGCCTGATGTTGTTCTTTGTACAAAGATGATTCAAGGGTTTTTCAATGGAAGGAATGTTGAGAAAGCTGTGAGGGTGATGGAAATTTTGGAAAAGTATGGGGAACCTGATGCTTTTGCTTATAATTCATTGATTAGTGGGTTTTGTAAGATGAACCGGCTTGATTCCGCTAATAAAGTGCTTGATAGGATGAGAAGTAGAGGGTTTTCACCTGATGTTGTCACATATAATATAATGATTGGCGATTTGTGTAGGAGAGGAAAACTTGATTCAGCTTATATGGTTTTGAATCGGTTGTTGAAAGATAATTGTAAGCCGTCTGTTATCACCTACACAATTTTGATAGAGGCAACCATACGTCATGGTGGCATTGCTGAAGCTATGGAACTTTTGGATGAAATGTTAGCAAAAGGACTTCGACCAGATATGATCACTTACAATGCAATTATTAGAGGAATGTGCAAAGATGGGATGGTGGATAGAGCTTTTGAGTTGGTTAAGAGCTTAAAGGCGAGGGGCTGTCAGCCTGATGTTGTTTCTTACAACAATTTGTTACGAGCACTTTTGAATCAAGGGAAATGGGTTGAAGGAGAGAAACTAGTGACAGAGATGGTTTCAAAAGGTTGTGAACCAAATGTTGCTACTCATAGCATTTTGATCTGCTTTCTTTGTCGCGAAGGAAAGGTTAAGGACGCTGTAAATGTATTAAAGATGATGAAAGAAAGGGGTTTGACGCCTGATTCTTACAGTTATGATCCATTGATTTCTGCATTCTGCAAAGAAGGGAGACTAGATTTGGCGATTGAGTATTTGGATTATATGATCTCCGACGGTTCCCTGCCAGATATTGTTAACTACAACACTATCTTAGCTACTCTGTGTAAGAATGGAAAGGCTGATCAGGCTTTAGAAATCTTTAAGAAGCTTAGTGAGGTGGGATGTCCTCCAAATGTGGGTTCTTACAACGCTATGTTCACTGCACTTTGGAGCACTGGCAATCAAGTCAAGGCTTTGGAAATGATATTGGAGATGCTAAGTAAAAGAATTGGTCCTGATGAAATTACTTACAATTCACTAATCTCATGTTTATGCAGAGATGGGATGGTAGATGAAGCTATTGAGTTGCTTGTAGACATGGGAAGTAGTAAGATTCACCCAACAGTTATCAGTTACAATACTCTTCTTCTCGGTCTATGCAAAGCACACAGAACCGTTGATGCCATTGAACTGTTAGCTGCAATGGTTGAGAAGGGATGCCAGCCAAATGAAACCACTTACACATTATTGATTGAAGGGATTGGTTTTGCCGGATGGCGTTCTCAAGCTATGGAGTTGGCCAATGATCTTGTCAGAATGGAGGCCATTTCTGAAGATTCATTCAAACGTTTGAACAGAACTTTTCCATTGCTTGATGTTTATAAAGAGTTTGCTGTTTCTGATTCTGATAAGTAAACCCCTTTGACGTTTTTTAGTCACATGTCCACGACATAAGCTGTTTAACTATAATCTTGTCATATCTTGTTTCATAACTCTTCTATCAAGTTGTTTATCCTCTGCGAACTTTTAAGGTGACAAGTTACAAATGTTTTTCTTATTATTTTCCCTTTATGCTTGTCTTCACCACATAGTTTTGAAACTTTTACTGAACCTTTCCAAGCCATCAAACAAGGTCTGTGGCTCAGACCTGGAGAAAATATCACTTTCAGCAAGATTATTTGAACTAAACAAATAACAGCCTCGTCTTGTAACAAGTAAATTTTTTTTAATTGAGATTGTCATGATTTGAACCTTGATTACTGAAATTAAGAATCCAATATCCGATCAATAATCATAAATGATATTTTCATAATTCCAAACTAGGTTATTGGAAACCTGAGTGCTTAATACTGCTATAACTTTAGCTACCAACTTATATGCAGCACAAGCCTAAAGAATAACATAAAGTAGCAAATCTGTTGAATCAATTTTGTAGTTAATAACCAGCTAAACTAAACTCTTTCTGTTCTCTATTCATGATCAACTTCAAGGTTCTACAACAAGCAAAACTTTTATGAATTATGATAAAACAGACCTTTATGATCATGAATTCTCTATTCCAGGCACCCTTTTTAGATTAATTTGGGTAAAAATTGAAGATAAATGTGAAAAAGTCAAATGAAGTAAAAGTAAGTATATTTCCATTCAGGCTCTTAGAAGAAACATATCTAACCACCAAGGTAACAGTCTACCAAAAGATGACAAAAAGTTAAATAGATGAAGCAAATGCTCAAAGCCAAGTAAAGATAAATGATTGTCCTAATTCATTGGGGTAAACAACCAACCACAATGACCACATGCTATTAGGAGATTATGTAAGCGACCAGCTTTGAAACTGAAAAAAGTTTAAACAGAAGTGCATTGGAAAAACTCTCAGACCAAAATATTGGCTATTAAGATCCACAGAATTTATTCTTGTGCACAAAGTCTTTAACTCAACCGCGTCTGAAAACCTTCCATTCCATCAACTTTTGATGCAACTTGTTAGCTTCTTCTTTCATTCCAGCATCAGCTATACCTTTGATAATAGTCAAATAAGTTGTCTCATCTGGTTTACTCCTATTTGAGACCATCATTTCTAGAACTTGTATTGCCAAGTCTACCTTCTCATTTTTACACAACCCACAGATCACCATTTTATAACCACTATTTCCAACCCTGTGCTTCCTCTCTGCCATCACCCTTAGTATCTCTACAGCTCCCTCAACTTGTCCTGCCCGGCAAAATCCCCAAACTAAACAACGATGAGTTATGTCATCAGGACTGATACCATCTTCTAACATCTGATTATATAATCCCATTGCTTTCTCCATATCACCACTTCTAGTCAATCCATCTATCACAGTATTGTAAGTTATCAAACAAGGGGAGCAGCTGCTCCCACTTAAAATTTGAAATAATTGAAGAACCTCTTCCACCATTCCTTCTTTAGAAAGAGCACCAAGTAGAGTATTATACGTAACAATGTCTGGAGAACAATTTTGATAAACCATTTCATCAAAAAAGTTGATGGCACGGTCCAAAAGACCATATTTACACAAACCATTGATCAACATGTTGTAAGTAACCACAGTTGGAGCATGTGAAGTTTCCTTCATGATTGCAAGTATCTCATCAACTTCATCCCAACACCCATGATTACTAAGAGAATGGATAAGGGTGTTGTATGTTATAGCATTGGGCTCCATGCCATGAGATATAATATTATAAAGGACTAAAGCAGCATCCTCATATTTCCCCCATTTACAAGTTAAATTAACCAGCGAATTGTAGGTAACAATGTCAGGACAACAACCTTCAATGGCCATATCATGTAATACTTCTATTGCCCGCACAGTTCCATAATGCTTGCAGACTAGCTCAATGAGAATTGTATTAGTGATTAGATATGGGGGGCATCCCTTTCTCAGTTGATCCTTCCAGAACCCAACAGCCTCATCAACAATCCCATTATCAAACATGCAGCGTATTATTGTATTGTACGTAATCACATCCGGAGGGCAACCACTCAAGCTCATGTCTTCCAAAAGGGCAATAGCAGATCTTATCCTTCCTCTCTTACAAAGAGCACGAACCATCAAGTTATATGTAATATTGTCAGGAATCCCACCAGACATTATCATAACCTGAAGAACTTTATCAGCTTTATCAAGTTTATCTGCTTTTACAAAGCCTCTTATTAAGTGTATGCAAGAAGTGAAATGAGGAATTTGATTCTGACGTGCCATAATTTCTATCAACCGTAATGCATCCCCCAGTTTTCTATTGCTGCAGAACTTTTGAAGAATATCATTGTTGGTTTTCTCATCATTTGTAACAAAACATCCATCTAAAGCTGACATCAAAGAATTTGAAAGCTTTTTTGAATGTGTTTGCGCTTTGAATTTTCTCTTAACACACATGTTCTGATCCTCTGAACTCCTCCATTCTTCTTGATCAAATTCATCTCTGTTAATACAAACACTTCTCTGCAGTCCTCTGCACTCTAAAGACACCACCCGTATTTCTGACCCATTATCTACCATCCATGACAAACAAGGGTGGCTTCTACGACTACATTTGATCAAACAAGTTGAATGAGAAGTAGATATCTTTACTATTGAGCACTTTGGGGAGCTACAACCTGAGCCAGGATGTTTCAGACCCCACTGCAAACCATGAAAATGGCCAATCTCAACTGGAGAGTTCTGAGGGGTAACTGCGAACCCCATCTTCTTCTATCAAGAACAAATCCTTAATTTCGGCTAAAATTTAAATACTTGTCAAGTGATTCTCTTGCTTTTGAATAAGCACCAGACCTGTGAAACTAGAAACAAGCAACATCAAAACATTGAATTCTAATACCAAGAGAAAAAAGAAAACCATTAACTGCATAGATACATATATAAACAATAAGAATCAGCAAATTAATGAAGATGACTTGGTAACAAAAGCAGATGGCCATATGATGAATGATTGGTAGTCCAGATTGAAACAGAAAAGGAACTTGTCAGTTCCTAAAGCCAAAAAGATTGAAGTCAGTTACACAAAATTATACTGAAATGACATGGAGAGAGAGAGTTATCATTGCAAGTACAATTAAATAATATGAACATCCAATTCAAAATCAGAAAATTCATGGATGTGGCTACCTAAATCCCAGATTAAAGTTAAAAGTATTAGCATTAAAAATTAATAAAACAATATCAAATACAAATTCCAAAACCTTTTTACAAAGGAAAAGTAAAAATATTCCCAAGCTTCCATGTTTCAAAATCTCCAAAATTACCATATCTATTCTTAGCATGCATTCATAGACATCCATACTAAGGAACAGAAGAACACAGAAGTTTGACATTGTTGAATACATAATATATAAAAAAGGTGAAAGTTCTTATTCAACAACCCAATTCACATAATTCAAAACCCATAACATTCACATTAGAAATATCCATTTATTATTAAAAAAAAAAACTGAAAAAAAAGCCTCGAATTCAAAAACCCATTTCCTATAATTCAAGTCATTGACCATTTCGATAAACCTTTTAATTTTTAATAACCCAAAAAAAAATGCAAAAACGCTGAAGAAAGAAACCTTACCTGAATACTAGTTCAAAGCTTTAACTAGAAGAAGAAACAGAGTTGCTGGACAAAGAAAAGGAAAAGCTTTCATTTTGTTAGGTTTAAGGAGTGACGTTAATTACTAGCGGTTCGTGATAAAATTACATTTAAGTACTTTTTGTAAGTCAATTTACATTTCAGGACCTTTTCACAATCAAATGGATTTCTCTGGATTTCGGACCCGGGTCGGGTAGCTTTATTATTTTCCTTTTATTTTTGGTACTTGGGTTAGGGAATTTGCTCTCTGATTTGAAGAACTGTATATCTGTTTTATGAATTACCTCTTCAACCCACCAAAGCAGATTTTTTTTTTAATTATATAATATTATATTATAATATATAGAAATTAAATAAAATTTATTTAAGTAAATGTCGATGATTTTATTTTTGACACACAGTAAACTTTCTAAATTTTTTTTATAATAACATGCAATATATTTTTTAATTTTAAGATATTTTTAAAAAATTATTTAATTATCCATAATTATTTAAATTTAATTAAAAGATCAATTCATTTATTTTTAAGTTACTAGCATGAAATTTTAATTTAAATATATTATTTTTTAAAAATATATTTTCAGAAAATCTAAATATATATATTTTTAATTTAAAATTTTCAAATATAATGATATATGCTTTTAAAATAGGTTTAACAATAATATAAATATATATTTTTTAAATTAAAAATCTCAAAATAATGATATTCTAAAATAGATTTTTTATTTTAATGCAAAATAATAACTCTTTTCAAATATTTTGACAATTAAGGATAAAAAATATTTATTTAAATATTTAGGCATTTTTGTTGGTTTTATTTATTTATTTAGAAAAAACTAAATAAGTTTACTTTTAATTATTGATTTTTTGTATTTTGTATTTTTTAATTTATAAATAAAAATAAATGACTAAAATGTAGTATTAATTCTAATATAATTGTTTTATATAAAAGTAAATTTACGTTTATTTTTTAAAATTAATTTTTTAAAATTTATTTATTTTAGTTTTTTTTTTTTACAAACGAAATGTAAGCAATAAAAGCAATAAATAATTTTTTTTTTTTTGAAATCGATTATAAAATCCTATGAATGAAAGCTGACATTTTCTTGAAACCTTTTTATAAATTTTTTAATACAATTGTTTACAATTTAATATTATTACTTAAAATTTAAAATTATTCAATTTAATTTTTACCCAATTTTACATCAAATATAAAGTTTAAATTAAGTATAAAAATTAATTTGACAAATCTTATAATTATTGAAAATTAAGATATTATTAAAATCAATGCAAAAAATGTATATGTGATTTTGTTGTATTTTTCTTTTCATTGTTTTTTTTTAAATTTATAAATAAAAACAAATGATTAAAATACAGTATTAATTATAACACAATTGTTTTATATAAAATTAAATTTATGTTTATTTATTTGAAATTAATTTTTTATAATATTTTTTCTTGAAAGCGAAAAGAAAATAATAAAAGCAAAATTTTTTTTGTACTATTTTGAAATTGATTATAAAATTATGTGAATGAGAATTGACATTTTCTTAAAATCCTTTTACAACAAAATTTTTAAATAATAATTTAATATTTAATATTTTTGCTTAAAATTTTAAACTATTTCATTTCAATTTTTATACAATTTTGTATCAAACATAAGTTTAAAATAAATATAAAAATAATTTAATAAGTTTTATAGATATTAAAAATTAAGATATTATTAAAATTCATGTAAAAAATATATATACGATTAAGTTATTATTAGGGTCGATAATCCAATCATTCCTGGACGGGTGTAGACCCTATCCTATGAGGTCAATTTTTTTTTTTTTGAATTTCGGGTCTCGAGTCAGATTCGAGTTTTAAGCAAACTCGATCCGACCCGATATTATATAAATTTTTTTAATTAATTATTTAATTTATATATATTTATATAATGATATTTTTAAATATTTATATTTAAAAAATAATATTTTATATTTTAAAAAATAATATTTTATTAATTTCGGGTCGAATCAGATACGATTTATATAGTATTAGGTCGGGATCGGGTTCCAGTATGAAAAACAAAAAAAATTTCAAATAGAATCGGATTTCGATTTAATAATACATAAAAGTCGAGTCGGGTTCGAGGCGAGCAAAACCCGCCTCGAACCTGATCCGATGTCAACTTTAGTTATTATATATATTATTTAAATATTTAAAATAATTAAAATTTATTTTAAAATTATATAAATTTGTAGATGTATAAAAAAATTAGGCAAAATAAACATGACACAAATTAAAGAAATTAATTTGAACTGATGAAACTTTTATTTTTTAATTTAATAGTTTGTTCGTGCACTGGTAATTCTATTTATATATAAACCTTTTTAGTATTAAATTTTTTAATTTCTTCAGTTAAAATATATAATTTTATTATATTTTGATATCTTAATTATATTATTTGTAATTTATATATTAAATATGTAAAGGGGAATAATATTATTTATATATTTAAATAAATAAAGATATAGTTATTTTTATGCAAAACCCAGCAAAGTGAAAAAAAACCCAAAAAATCTTTTTCATTTTCATCGCTGATCCCATCATCATAATCAAGATTTCAACTTTGAGCTTCCTTGCTCTTCAATCTCAAATCTTTTTCTTCATCAACCAAAGACTGATTTTTTACGCAACAATCTCGGTAGATATGCAAGGGTTTTCCGATGGCGGCGCCGATTTGGCTCAGCTTCAATCAACCATGCGCACCATCGAAGTTGCCTGCACTTCGATTCAGGTTCACCATTTACTCAAGATAGTTTGTTTTTCCTTTTTTTAAAATTATTTATATACTGAATAGATTATTTATTATTTTGCTTCATTTTCTTCGTTAATTATCCATTATTTATTTGCTTTTTGTTTCTCATCGATTGAAATTTGCCGTTTGTTCTATTTACTACTTGGGTTTGGTCTTTTAACACTTTATTTGATTGCATTTGTTATTGGGAGCAGATGCATATAAATCCAACGGCAGCGGAGGCAACGATATTGTCATTAGCACAGTCACCTCAACCGTACAAGGCGTGTCAATTTATCCTCGGTGAGTTAGGCTAACTGAGTATAGATATCAATGTTTCAATGCATTTTCTTATATTTGGTTTTTGCTTTATCAAAAAGTTATTGAAAAATGAAGGTATATGACTTTTTGTTCAAAGAAGTGAGCAAATAGTGGAAATGCAACTCACATTTGAATATAATTATTCCTTAAAAAATGAAAAAATAATTCAAAATTCTGGTACTGCTTTTGTGTCTGAACGCACTGTTTTGGGGGCAAAAGTGACAATCTAACGGTTTCTACTATTCTCATAACTGGTTTGCCTGTCGTTGACCTTTGTTTGATAAGCTTGAAACGTTTTGTACCGAAACTGGTGAGTTTTATGTAGTTCTTATGGTTTAGACAATTAGCTATCTGAATTTCATGCTAAAATTCAATTCATTATTCAGAAAATTCTCAGGTGGCAAATGCAAGGTTTCAGGCTGTTGCAGCCATTCGAGACGCAGCAATCAGAGAATGGAGTTTTCTTTCCAATGAAGACAGGAGAAGTTTGATTAGGTACCATTAACCTTTTGAAGAGTATGTTCTGCTAAATTATTGTTATTCTGAAAAGATAAGAGTCAGCAAAATGCAAGGCATGAAAGAATTTCTCTTTTCTTTTTTAATCAAATTGCCTCTGTTAAATTGTGCTTTTTTACTCTGTTTTCTATTTTGCAGTTTCTGTCTGTGCTTTATTATGCAGCATGCTAGTTCACCAGAGGGCTATGTCCAAGCAAAGGTGTCTTCGGTGGCTGCTCAATTGATGAAAAGAGGCTGGTATGATGCATGACCTTCCATGTTCAGCTTAAAGATAACATGTAACATATGCCTCGGCAGCACTTTGTACGAGCTATTTTGACCTTATCATCATGAAAGCACGTAGTACTAGTTTTATCATGCTGAAGCCTGTTCTGAGCATTACTGCACCCTTCATTTCATTAAGCTTTAAGTTACATTCAACACATTGCTTAAATAAAATTCCACATATGCTGTGAGATATTGAGAACGTTATAATTGTTTCAATGAATATTTTTTTGTAGGCTTGAATTTACAGCAGCTGAGAAGGAGGCATTCTTTTATCAGGTATGAATACCATTGTCATTATCCTTTGTCCTTTCTGCTGATGTAGTTGTGACTTTAGTTGAATGCTTTTCTTCCTACAAATATTCTGTTTGTTTATCTTACTTGCTTATGTAGTTATTTTTAAAAGGAAATAGAATCATATATGCTTTGCATCTTCCCTTCTCTATTACCTAGAGGAGCAGAGCTTGAAGAATATTTTTGAGAGTGGCAAACTGAAACCTTAGGTGATTTAATGGTATATTGGATTCTTATGGTTGATAAGTAAAGTCTTATACAACTTGAATTTTGTTGATTTTTTCTAGTGCTGAAACACATTATAGGTGCTCAGTTGTTGATTGGCATCTCTTGACGGTTTCATGACTACAGGTTAAGCAGGCCATTCTCGGTGCTCATGGGGTGGATGTGCAGTTCATCGGAGTAAACTTCTTGGAATCTTTGGTATGCAGTGCTTTTGTAGGAGTTCTAATCAGTCTCCGTTGTATCTTTCATTATGTTGGCTTTAGATTTTGTAATCAGCTTTCTTTCTCCTAGATTTCTGAATTTTCACCTTCTACTTCAAGTGCCATGGGTCTTCCAAGGGAATTTCACGAGCAGTGTCGAACATCGTTAGAGCTAAACTATTTGAAGGTTCCTTCAATTTGTCTTTACTTTGTGTTAATTTTTCTGTTGATGATAGGCTGTTGTATCTGCAGAGAATTCTCTTATCTTGACTTTTTACTTGTCTAGCCCTTACTTGTGTTTTTGATTCATAGACATTCTACTTTTGGGCACGAGATGCTGCTTTGAGCGTCACAAACAAAATAATTGAATCTGATGCTGTGATACCAGAGGTTAAAGTTTGTACTGCTGCACTACGGCTGATGCTTCAAATTCTAAACTGGGAGTTTCGGCATGATACAAATAGCACAAAAGCCAGTATCAATGTTTTTTCAGCTGTAGTTAGACATGACAATGCTTCATCTAAGAGGTCTGAATGTGTCTTGGTG